GAGTTAAAGGTGGCAGTGACCAGACGCATGACGTCCCATACATGGACAGCTAGGTCACACGACAGATAGGTGACACCAGCTCATTAATTAGAATTATCCATTTAAATTGAAAGTTATGAACATAAATTTATTAAAAGATTGAAAATAAAACCTATAGAATTGTAAACAAAAACAATAGTATTTAAATTGAAAATCTAATTTTGTACATTTAAAGTGGAGTCAATATTTTCATAGCTCAGTAATCAAGCTTTCGTATCCTTAAAAAATACACAAATAACAGCTGTTACTACACTACTTGCGATGTTGCCACTTCGAAGGCTGCGGTCTTAAGTTAAAAGTGGCCGTGCCAATCTAGTATAATATATTCAATGCTAGTACCCATTCACGGCCACGTGAGAACGGAACGAGAAAGAGGAGACTGGACTCGGACTGGAGTGGAGATTGGATTGGACTGATTGGAGGAGTGTCAAGTCAACGTCAACTGTCATTACTGTCATGTCATCTTGTCAAGTTGTGATTAAGAAGACGTCAGCGTCAGGCAGTCCAATGTCAAGTTACATTCTTCTCTTGTGTCTTATCTAGCAATTTGGAAACTCTGTGATACCAATCCCGAAATATCTCCGTGATTGAGAAATGGACCCTGTATTTGGAATTCACATAGGGAATACTGGTGCATGCTTGGCTATGTGCAAGGTAAGTTTTTTGTTTTCTTAAAATAATAGCCTACCTAATACATGTACCCCTGGACAGAATCATAATCAGAATATTTTTATTGTCCTTCAGCATTAAAACTATGCAATAGACAAAGTCAAAGTTGACACAAAATAGTTTAGCTACAATATACAAAGTCAACGTTAAAATTCTAACAGTTTTAAAATTATAAATTTCACTAAGGCTATAAAAGGGATTTTTACACAGCCAGTTATATAACATCATTTTAAAATCGAATTTTGTACATTTAAAGTGGAGTCAATATTTTCATAGCTCAGTAATCAAGCTTTTGTGACATTAAAAAATACACAAATACCACATTGCTGCATCCAAACAAAACAGCTGTTAAACACTACTTGCGATGTTGCCACTTTGAAGGTAAAATAAAAATGCCTCGACATCAATGACCATAATAGGCTGGATAGACCAAGTCAAAACTGAAGATAACTAGCCTCTCGGTCTATTTACCGTAAGAGTTTTGGGCAAGATAGCGTTGAGCCTTTGAGCCTATGATGGACCCAAGGCATCAAAGTAACTTATTGATTTACCAAATTGGTTAGTAAGTCAATTATGCATATTAGGGTCTGCACCTGATTTTTGAAAAAAAAATCATTCTAAGTTAACCTACTCAAAATTTAAGGCTGATACAAAAAATGAGTTTTTTCCGCGGAAAATGATAAAACACGTTTTTATTTATCAAAACACGTCATGTGGGTACTTAAATTAACGGGAATAGCAAGCAGATCACGTCACGAATATACAAGGATTTTTTAAAGCGAGTTAAATTTACAAAAATGTGATAGCCTACTAGCCTAATTATGTCAGCAATAACACTTGTGCGAATCTGCCAAAAACTCACCAATATGGACATGCTCACAGTAGTGGACATGTTTGTAAACATCTATTAATGGTACTATTTCGTGAAAATAGGCTTGCACAGCGTAATACCACGAAATAAAAGACATGTTCATGCACAGGCAGTATCAAGGCCATATCCCAGGAACAAATTTTGGTCATACAACAGGGGCGTATAATGACTCAAGATTCAAGAGAGATTCAAGAGATTCAAGAGATTTATTATACCATTAAGTAAATAAATACAATAGGTAACGTCACTATTCTAAAATAAACAAACCAATGCATATAAATAATTAAATGTTCATAATTACAAACCATGCTGAAATAAAAAATGGTTAATCTTCACAGCAAACAAAACAGCAAACCATGCAGTTATGGCAAACAAAAGAAAATGAAAATTGTGACACATACCTGAGTGTAAAAATAAAATTACAAACTAAAAACAATGGCCAGCCTTCAGAGCATCAAAAAATTCTATAGTTTCATAAAAAGGATTCGTTTCAAGCCAATCTTTTACAATTTTTGTGAATTTTGACTTCCGCAATGACCGTACACTTTCCGGGAGAGCATTGTAAAACTTTTTGCCTGTAACAGGAAAACAGTTATTAGTTTTACTCAATCTATTGCTACTTAAATGTACATTGTTTCTATTTCTTGTAAAATATGAGTGGACATCCTTGTTACAAACCAGATCTTCTTCCATGTCCTTAATAGCTAACAAAGATTGATAAATATATACATTTACAACAGTCATAATACGAAGTTCAGCGAACAAATGCCTACAATGCTCCAGATAATGAACCTGACATATTATTCGGATAGCCTTTTTTTGATGGAGCAGAACTTTCTGAGCATGCGGGGAGTAACCCCACAGGAGCGTGCCATATACAATATGGGACTGGAAAAAGGAAAAGAAAGCCAGTCTCAGAAAGTTAAAAGGTAGTTCAGAGGTCAACTTCCTCAAAAGATGTCTTACTCTACTTAACTTTACACAGAGTGCATCTATGTGGTCATCCCACGCAAGCTCCGAGTCCAGGGTGAAACCCAGCAGTCTTACAGACTCATCACTGGAAACATTTTTATTAAGGCTAAACATGATTTCTTGAGTTTTGGCTGCATTCAAGGCCAATTTATTTCCATCAAACCATTGAGACGTTTCATTTAACAATGAGCTAGCAGAATTTTTTGCCATAATATGATCAATGTGTGTAGCAAAAATAGTGGTATCATCTGCATACATCAATATATCATTTGAGACACCATAATACAAGTCATTCATGGCAACAATGAATAAGAAGGGACCAAGGATTGAGCCCTGTGGGACTCCATGCTTTACCACTCGAGAGTTTGATTTATCCCCAGCCCAGGATACAACCTGGAACCTATTATCAAGGTAGGACTCAAACATTTTGAGCGCACAGGCTCCAACACCATACATTGAAAGCTTTTTGACAAGTAAGTCATGCGGCACACAATCAAAAGCGCGTGACAGATCGCATAACACAACAGAGGTTGACATTTTGTCTTCAAAAGCATTAAGAATAACCTGTAAAAGGGAGCCCACCGCAGTTACAGTGGACTTGCCCCTACGAAATCCGTGCTGAGCAGGGACTAGTAAGTTATGGGTTTCAAAGTGATCACTTATCTGCCTTAACATTAAGGCTTCAAATATCTTGCCTAGCACCGGTATCAGGGACACCGGCCTATAGCTTGCTAGTACATTTCTAGGGCCCTTTTTAAACACAGGCACTGTTCTGGCTGTTTTAAAAACATCAGGAAAGACGCCTTCAAGAAGGCAGCAGCTAAACAAATGGGCCAGTAAAGGAGCGATTACATGTACAACCCTTTTGATAAAATCAGTTGACATATCATAAACATCTTTACTGCTAGAGGACTTAAAACTACTGACTACATTTGTTACCTCTAATGCACTAACCATTTTCCACTCAAACTTATTATGTACCCCTGGAATACAATCAAAATAATTGTTATCCTTTAGTGGAATGGAGTCAACAATACCATCCACAGAGTCCAAAAAGAAATTGTTGAAATCCTCTGCGGTTGCAAAACTCAAATCAGCGCCCGCTCCCGCCCTGGGTCTGCTCTGGTTGATCAAATCCCATGCTGCCCTACACGGATTAGCCGAGGTGGCGATCCTGACTGCCGCCGCTGACTGCTTTGCCTCACGCAGACAAGTGCGATACTCCTTTCTCAGCTCTCGAAGGTAGGGAAGAGTGCTTGGTCTACTTTTTGAAATTTCATGGACAAGAAGAATATATTTCTTAAATTCCGCAAGCTCACTAGTATACCAGGTATTACACTTTTTGACGCGCGGTTCACCGGTGCTACTATTCAGGTCAACCATCTTGCTTCTCATAGGGAATTGCAAATTGAATTGGTCACTAAAAAGAGAGAAAAATTCAGAGAAGGCTGAATTTGCTGGGAGAATACAGAGTTTGTTAAACCAAGCAGGTGTTAGGTTTGTAATGATGTCACAGAACCTTTGCAATCGTCCTTCATTGGTTAGTCCTAACCTAAAACACACGTTTTTTAATTTAGGTTCTACCGAGTCTTTTCCTAGGGTAGACCTAGGGTCATTTAGCTTCAATAACACATGCTTATGATCTGCGACTTGATCTTCACTAACTGTAACTTCATAATTCCAGGAATCTAGATTAGTAATAAAAGAGTCTAAGGATGCCTTATTTCTAGTGGGAACAAAGACACTACTATAGAACCCAAAACTACGTAATAAGTTCAAAAATTCAGTTGACTCACGGCCGGTTTTAAGAAGATCGATGTTATGATCGGAACCGATAGCAACAGCCAGGCCAAAAGAAATCAAAAAAGTCAAACACTGTTCCAAGAGAACAAAAAATCGTTCTAAATTACCATTCGGAGATCGATACATCGCTACTATAATCAGTTCAAGCTCATGCAGTATAATAGCTACGAACTCACCTGTAAATTCTTCACAATAACTACTCAGATCGAGTAACGTGAATTTTAGATTTGGTTTAGTATAAATGGCAACCCCGCCACTGGGATTAGACCTACAAAAATAAGTGGTGAGATCCAGATCACCCACACTTTTATAAAAATCGACTTCGTCAGATAGCAGCCAATGTTCACAAACACACAATACATCAAGGTTATTCTCTTGGCACAAAATGTCTAACTCCGCCACCTTGTTGCGTAGACACTGCACATTAATTGAACACAGTGTAACATGTGCAGGCAACTTTTCTAAGACTGGAGATGAGTACGACTCACAAGTGCCAGAGAGTGTCAGAGTGACAGACTGCTCACACCAAAATCTATTGATGGCCCTATCTATTTGTTTCTTAAATAAGGGAAGGATAAAAAATACAAATACAGGTCCATACACCATTTGAGTTCTTCAATTATACAACCTACACACCGAACACAACATGAGGGCTTGAACAACAACCCAAAAGCTACTTAAATAGTAAATGTAGGGCACAATAACAGACTTTCGGCCAGGTATAAAACAAATCTCTGCGTGCCAGCTTACAAGGATGTCGGGAATCAACATAACTTAATCTAAGCTTGTTTATGAATAAAGACCTTAGCTTAATTAAATACTCACACATTTTTTCTCAAAATTTTAAGGCTTAATCAATAAAAATTCACGAGACCTGTAAATTTTGTGTTTCCAAAAATTAAGCCCGGTAACTTAGTAGCATTTAAAGACTTGTGGTTTGTATAGTAGCAGTAGCCTAGTTTGCTTTTATAACAGGATAAATCAACCGCATAATAAACCAATATTCTCCTAAGGGTTAACATCTTTTTGCCTGTTTCTGTGTCGCTTGCTGAACAATATTTTATTTCTTCAAAACAGTTCCAAAAACCAAAACATATTCACTTATAATGGCTTGTTATCACAAACAGACTTAACAACGAAACTTAACCATACGTATAGCGTGCGACATGTCTCTGAATAGGCTATCTAGATTCAACTCACCCAAGTTCTCTTCAAATAGATTTTTCAAACTTCTTCACCCGCATATTTGATCTTGAGCAACATATTATATTCTAACCTGGAATGTTAGTAGCCTAATGATCACTGCATCTACATCTATCAATTAATAAGCTGTGATCACAATAAAAATCACAAAAATACCAGTCACAATTGTCTGTTAACGCAAGAAGGATAAAGCTTGTTATAGCCTACTGTATTTAATTTACAGAAAGTTGACTCCACGTCCCAAATTGAAGTTATACCAAACCCTGCCGGAGAAAGAGTCACACCTGCCATTGTCACAGTCGCTGAAAATGATTTTGTAAGTACGTTTTCCAGTTGTTTGTAACGGATAAATTTATACTATTTTGTTGGTTATCAACTAAAGTTCTAAGGTCCAAGATAATGCGTGGGAAACTGCATCATGACAGAAAGATTTTATCTCAACTTTGAAATCGTCTTTGTTTAGTTCATTACAAAACAGCGAGTGCTTTTCCTTAAAGATATACTGGAGAAGAAAATCTTGTCTCTTCTGCTTGTAAAGCAAGGCAATCTTCATTGTGCTGAGATGAACAATTTGTGTTATTTTATAGTTAAAAAGATCTCTCATTTATAATTTCATTCTTTTATATACACATTATTAGAACCTTTTCTTTATTTTAAAACAAACCAATAACTTTTCCTTTATTTGTTGTTTTGTAGTTTTTTATGTTCTACAGTAGATAGAAATGGAAAAATAAATTAATAATGCAAGTTTTAACTTAACATTCTGTGTTGCATGAGGTTAAGAAAGTTTTGAATACCATAAAAGTAACACAAACAAGTTCATCTGGGTAGGATGAAATCCCTCTTTTTGTGTTAAACATGTTTTTTATGTCTTTGAGGACTTATTCTGTAGAATAGTAAGCCAGTCCCTGGAGCAAGGCATGTTTCCAGACAAACTCAAATATGCAGAAGTAAAACCTTTATTTAAGAAAGGGGATGTTTATAATACCTCTAATTATCGCCCTGTTGCGTTTCTACCTTGCTTTTCAAAAATTTTGAACGAATTGTCAAAAACTAACTAGGCCTAGTACAATATTTATAAAATCCAATAATATTTAATAAATATAATCAACCCTTCTCAATTTGGATTCCGGCCTAACCTTAACACTCAAAAAGCAGTAACCGACATGATCAACAATATTGCTGGGGCCTTGGTTGGAGCACAGAAGACTGTGGGAGTGTCGTGTGACTTGTCCAAGGCATTTGACTGTGTTGATCATGGAATACTTCTTGAAAAATTAAGTAGACATGGAATAAAATATATAGCATTACAATGGTTTGCTTCTTATCTGAAAACCCGTAAAAAAGGATAATAATAAACAAATTTCAAAACAACTACATGTCAGATTGGGAGGATGTTGCATTTGGAGTGCCTCAAGGATCAATTCTTGGACCATGTCTATTCATTTTATTTATTTGTTAACGACCTAGGAAGTGTACCAAAAATGCCAATATTTCAGTATGCAGATGACACAGCAATCATATGCAAAGAGCAAAAAGGTATCAACATTATTCACACAATCACCAGAGAGCTCCATTATCTTGAGGACTGGTGTACTGTCAACGGCCTCTCCATGAATGTACCCAAAACACAGCTGATACAATTCTCTGCCTCCAATATAAAAGACGAGATCACCCTAAATTCAAACTCAAATTTGATAGTTTCTCAAGATTAAGTTGATTATTTAGGAATAAAAATAGACTCACATTTAAATGGGCAAACTCACATTAAAAATTTATCAAAACGACTTAATTCAGCTATATTTGTGTTGCAGTTAATTAGAGATACAACAAATTTTAACACACAAATTGAAGTATGTCATGCTTATTTCGCTTCAATTATGAATTTACAGACTTATTTTATGGGGATCTAGTGAAAGCTAAAAAGTGTTTATTCTCCAAAAAAGGGTGATTAGACATAGCCAAGGTTCCTCCAGATACACATTGCCAAGAATATTTCAGTCAATTCAAAATTCTCATTTTATACAGCTCTTATATTTATTATATTTCTCTGATGGCAAAGAGTAACTGATTTATACTTATGGAGAGTCAGTCCTCTCACCATGATACAAGATACAACAAATAAATAAAAAAAAGAAGCATAAGAAATAAAAAGAAATTGATTGCATATTGAAAAAAAAACAAGAATAAGAATAAGAATATTTATTTTCCTTTTGACAAATTACATGCATTTGGAATCGTCAGTTAAACAAGGCATAATGATCATAAGGCATTCACAAGGCAAATTCAATATCGATCCATATGCTTCTACAAAACTCTCAAAATTTCTACAATAGGTAAATATTAAATATTGTATAAACACTTAAGATATGGCTTCTGGAGAAAGCATTTTCTTCACTGGAAGATTTCCTAACAAATGTATGATTATTTTTTAGAATTTAATATTATGATTGTTGTTTTGTTACAATAGATTTTAGTTTTATGATAAATCACCTGTCAATCATTGATGTAACGTGATGATAATAAATAAATAAATCAATAAATAAAATAAATGGCTTGAGTTTGAATGTAAAAGTCGATTTGTGAAAGTTGTGACGTAACATCATTGACAGAATTCAACACCTCAGAAGTCCTATCTCATATTTTGCCCTAACACCTAGATAACTTGAACATTGTTTACAGGAAAACCTTAATTTATAACTCAAATATTGAACCATACCCCTTCAAATTTGAAATATAGAGGTCTTTCTGTATGCCTTGACTTAAAAGTGTGAGAGAATTTTCTGTATTCTTCTATGTATCATTGATAAGTAAGCTGATTATCTGGTTGCTTTTAATGAGGTAGGCCTAGATATCAAGATTTAAATTTGCATTGACATTTATTATTAACCCTTTTTTGATTGGCACAGGTTGTTGGAACGGAATGCAAGTCATTGATGATCTCAAGCTGGAATACCACTGTCGTGTGTAACAAACGCATGCTGGACACCAACACGCCTGAAGGTAAAAATGGCCATTGGAGAGTGGCCACAGTGCTCCGAGAGGGTGAACTTTGCTACGAACTACCTCTGGAAACTACAACAGAATATATGACTCCTACACATATTGCAGTATGCATTTTTAATTCCTTATATGGTAAGTTCTTTAATTTTCTGTTATAGTCCAATGGATTTTATACATTCTTTATAGAGGACAACTTTGTTTTTAAAAATTTCAGCAGTGGTGCTGGTTATTTAATGTATTTTGTGAGGAAATATGATATTTGAGGGTTACTATGTAAATTATTACGTTAAAAGTATTCAAATCGGCCTAGTTTTAAATAGCATCAAGTTGCTTTATATGACTATACAAGTTCAATTGTGATTACATTCTTATTTAATTAAGGTTATCCTAAAAAGAATGAGGGAATTTTGAACGGCCGTTGCTTGGGTACCCGGGTGTTTCAAAATGCATACAGTATCGGGGCTTTACAACTCTTATAAATGACACATCAAATGTATAAAAGCCACGACATTTGTCTTCAATTTCCTTCAAAGTGGCATTGTATTCACTCATAATGGTTCGCACCGTAGCCGATTTCTCAACAGTTTACTTTACCACTAGCCTACCTTTCTTCATTCCGGAATACAACTGAAAAAAATAAAATTCAGGTTAGATTTCTTGTAATTAGATTGTAATCTACAGGAAATAGTACATATAAAATGCTGTAAATAATCAATAAAACCACGTTTAAGTTGAAAAATGAAGTAATTATTTATGAAGATTAATAACAGTTTGAGAATTTGGAGTTGGATGTGGTAAAGACTTTTCTCTTTACAAAAGTACCTCTTTGCACACTAGTTTTACATGTTGTAGAGATGGCTAGAAGTACAGTCCCAGGAGCGGAGGGCGAACCCTCATGTGTTCTGTTGGTGCCTACACTGATGTCTGAAGAAGGCAGGTTCAAACTACGAGCGGCAGCGGAGGCAGCAGGCTGGCTTGTGATGCATATCATCTGTGAACCAGCCGCGGCCCTTCTGGGATACAACTTGCTCTCGGACTACACAAAAAAGTTAGTACTGAAATAGACATCCCTTCTATATGGACCAGCTGTAGGCAGATTTTTTTATAATAACACCACAGCAGACTTAGCAAATCTGCATTTATGTGATTAGATTTCTAATTAACACTTTCACTGCGCCACGTCAAATAGCGGGCGTATCCCCAGTGCGGCGCAGCCCTCAGCGTTGAGCAAACCCGATTGCCGCGTGTAATTGGCTTTCCAATTTTGGTCTGACGAATAGCAAATAACGTGCGGGGATGTCCTGCTTTACAACGAGAGTCAACGTAGTTCGCTAAACACCCACAGATAGCAGCACTGCTTGGAACGTAGCCGGTCCCATTGGAATTGTATTGCCAAATGGAGGGAAAAAGACGGGACAAAAAGAAGACTTTTGAGATTGCCAGACGGGGATTTTACGGCGAAATTTAATACCAACCTACACCACAACAAAATGCAAGTCACATACTACACGCTAACGTGGTATAGGTCCGCTTTCGGCCGACGCTAGAGCAAAAACGAATATATACAAAAGGCATTGCCGAGCGTTTCCGATGGGGTACGGACGCACCGCACGGGGGCCAAGCGCCGTACCCGTTCGGGAACGGCAGCACTCTACGTGTTAAATATTTCCCTAAAATATCAGATTATTTATTCCCTATCTAAAAAAGTTTACCGAGGACTTAGTTGTGCTGCTACAGGGTAGGGAAAAAGTGTTTTGTTTTTGTCAAATGTTAATAGTAGGTATAGTATAAAAAATAAATTTGCCATGGATAAAAATGTAACCATAAACATTACTGCAATATTTTACTTTTTCTCCATAAGAATAACAAATTACTTGGTAATTTCAAATGTTTTTTGGGATTTCCTCTGTAACCCTTAGTTGTACAACGCTCCAATAAAAATATTTCTTTTTTAACTCTAGGCTACACGTTGAATGTAATTAAAACCAAGAATATTAATTCTTTATGGGTAAAAATTTGAAAACCCAATTTAAAAAATATAGAACCCCTTTCTCACTTTGCCAGACCCGATGAGACTCGCATTGATGTTGATGTCTCCATAAAAATATTTGTTAGTTAAGCTTTGTAATCATACAATATTATTATATTGTAAAAGAGTTTGTAGTTTGCATTTGTAACATTTCTATGTCAACAGGAAAGTATTGGTGTACAGAGTAGGAGGCAGAAGTTGTGATGTCACGTTGGTACAAGTGGATGGATTTTTGAACCTTCAGGAAACAGAGTACACAGAAGAAGTGGGGGGTAAACTCCTCATAAATACACTTACCACGTACTTGGCACAGGAATGTTACAGGTAATTTGAATCAAATTTGGGTTTAGGGGTATGAAATATATAGAACCCCTCATATCCAACCTCGGTTTACCCGTCCAATTCTCAGAAGACACTATTCATAATATAAATGTTAATCCCACAGTTGTAGTTGTAGTTACACACTAGTATATGTGATTCAAGCACTCTTGACAGTTTCTCACATTTTACTACCTTATTCACCTTCCATCGGACGCATCACGGAAGTTACCTCCGGGTCACTACTTTTTTTCGTTATAAAAACCATTGTATGTGTTCGGCAGGGCTGTGGCCTGATTTACCTCACGAACCTCTTTTGCTCTTTTTTTGTATACTCTTACTCCTTTCCCAGTTGTCAGTCGACCTTGGGGAGTGGTTTGCGTCACTACTGGAAGTAGCTTCCGTGAGCACCCTGTGATGCAATGGGTTTGATGCACACGGAGCCTAGTTCCGTGTGCGCCCTTGTGCTTGACCTTATTTAGTGATATTATAAAATGGATGAAGAAGAATTAATTGCAAGATTGTTGGCTAGTGTTGAAAGGGAAGACAAGGAACAACATCTAGTATAGCAAGAACTAATGGTGCGTGATGAGTTCGGAAACTTTTTTTTTCAATAAAAAGAACTTTGACAAAATGTGTAGTCCTTCTAACAAATGATTTTTTGCACTAAACAATAGGTGTTTTATTTCAAACATCATTGCAACTTTTTTTCTAAAGAGCTTTGACAAAGGAAGTTGTTCTTATGAAAATTATCTTTTTTGATAATAGGCTACCATAGTTGTTTTTATGTCATACACGGATGCAATTTTTGTCTAAGAGCTTTGATTGAATGAGTTGTCCATGTACAAAATTATTATTTTTATTAGACCATGTACATGTTTTATGTCATACAATATTAAAATTTGTTTTCTAATATACGATAGTACTGTATACGTACAAAAAGTAAATCTTTTTTATCCACAACACTTACATATTTTTATTTTTTATTATAACATTTTATATTTGATATACAACTTAAGTAATAGTGTAATAACTCATAAAAAATGTTTTTCTTACAGTTTTATTGCTATTAAAATGTTTCTTACTCATCATTGTATAGTTTTTGTACTCCCGGAGGTAACTTCCGTGAGCGCCCATTGGTGTTTGAAAATCAATGCGCCCGACGGAAGGTTAAACAGTTGGTTGATTATTTCCAGTACACTAAAGAATATTATACATATTAATAATAAAGAATGAGCAACTGGAAAACAAGTCCAAGTCATGAACAAATTGTGCAGAATGTTGTCTCAGAAAATAGACCCAAGCACTGAATTTATTTTTACGTAATATTACCCGGTAACTTATAAAATTGTTGTTAACATTAGGTTGGTTTATCTGGCCAAATCGCTTTGTGGCCTAGGGCTCAAGCTTGTGGCTGGATATGAGGGGTTCTACTGTGTAACCAGCATATATAAAATAGTTTATTACGTACAAAAAGCATAGTTCTTTTGCTTCACAAAGCTGTTAAATATTTTACATTTTGCATCTCCTGTATTTTTATGACAGCTTTCTGTTGTGCAAGAGAACTTAGTTTTGGAAATGTTGAATGCACTTTAGATAGACTGACAGTGTGCTTAAAAAACGGTAAGTGTAGAAAGTAGAAACCTAGTAAAACAACTAATGTGGTTATTACCTAATTTGTTTATCATTTTATAGTATAATATGCTCAATGGTATCAATCTGATTGTTCTTTTCTTTTGACCTGCGTAAACATACGTTACCTACAATTCTTTTATGCACGATAATCCAAGAGTTTTTTCCTGGATAGAACACTGGTCTAGAACTTATTTTTAAAGCAGAAGCTAGTTACAAAGTACAAAGGTGTTTCTTGGTATTGATTCCAAGATTGAAGTAACACGTATAGAAACATTTTTCATATTTGTCTATATATAGGATTAGTTTTAACAAGTACTTTGGTTTGCTGCTACATGGAAGGTAAGTAATAACTTGTGTTTCTCTGAGAAATGCGAGTACTTTCAAATTAAATAAATAAATTTGTCAAATTCAATCAAAATATATCCAAAAACAAGCAAACTACAGAAGTTAACTTATTATCCATAAGAATAGCATGGGAATTTTAAATTGAAAGATTTTTAAATTTCTTTCATAACTATTAGACCTAAAAATGTTTCAAGATTTTAAATTAGGTTGGTCTTTTAAGCCCTACAAAATGGTTTGTACAAATAAATTATGAAATGTTATGTTTTGAGGGTCAAAATGGGAAAGTTGAATTTTTACCTATTCAAACCTCCCATAAAACACCAATCCTATTGTCTGATCGGTCAGTAAAACTAGTTAGAATAGATAAATACGTTTTTTCCAAATTTCATAAAAATCTGACGATTTTTGCTTGTGTTATCATGCTTATGGACACATATTCAGATGAACTTGAACGGATGGTGTTTTTGAACTCTGGGTTCATCGACACTAAAAACTAAATCACTTTCATGTCCAGGTTTTACCATAAGATCTATGGTTCTATGATTCTTGGAATCGATTGGGGGGGGGGATGATACTTATTCTATATATTGGAAATTCGCTAAAACTTATGATCAAACCTTAAGCTACAGATTTTTGTGCAAAATATCTCATTTTTTTAACATCATTGATTTGCCGTAGTCCAGGTCCAGACTAGACCAATCCATATCACCAAAAGTCTACTGTAGCAGTAATAATCATTAGCTTGTAAGACAAACCCAATTTTGAGAGTGTTCCTTAACATGTTTATTTCATTGTTGCAGGAAATACAATTTTGATATAAAAGAGAGCCACAGGTCTCTGACAAAATTGACACTAGCAGCAGAAAACTGCCTTCATGTCCTTTCATCTAGAGAATCTGCCAATTGCTTTGTTGAGAGTTTATGTGGAGTCGATTTTAGTCATCAAATGTCCCGCGCTCGTTTCGAGTCTTTATTAAATCCACTACTTGCTGAATTTGCCAAACCACTGCATTCAGTCCTCTCCAGGCAGAATTTGATTCCTGATGATGTTACAATGGTAATTATTACTTTTGATTTCTTATAGTGATGAACTAAAATTCTTACAACACACTTTATTTAGTTGAAGGACTCTATGAAAAAATACTACAGTTTAACTAGGTTATATCATCATTTAAGGGATGTATTCGAGTGACACTGTAAAATGGCCACTAAGCTTACTGATCAATAACACAGGAAAGATAATAATTTCTGTTCGTTTATAAAATACATACTTTAATGACATCATTGGGGTAAACATAACCAAATTTGTTAGTTATAGGGTTAAGCTATTTCAATTTTATGTACAAAAAATATAAAAATAGCAAATTCAAGTACTGTAGCCAGCAAGTAAAAGTTTCTTTTTCGAGAAATACAGTTGGAAAAGATTGATGAAACAAACATTAAATCATTAATTAAAACTAAAAGATTACAAATAAAACCCTTCTGCTGAAAGAAAGCTATAATTTTAATCTGGACAGTCCTCTCAGAACACCTATTTGCAGGGTGTCACTCTGGAAAGTCAGGGATAGTCATGGAATGTCATGGAAAAAAATTCTAGTCATTGAAAGTCATGGAAATAGGCAAAAAGTCATGAAAAGTCATGGAAATCCCCAATGATGGACGGATTTGAGGGGACTTTTCAATGCTCTAGCCGGCCGTAACCCCAACTATTGTGGCATTTTTCAGGATTTATTCACAAATCTACGACAATTCAATTTATCACAGTCTTATTAGTTTATGAGCTTTGGGTTTGTATTAGTTCATTGTTGTACCTATTATACTAAACTTGGTTATCTGTTAATAAATATTTCAGTAATTTCTGTGAAATAACTTGTCTAGGAAGTATTATTCGTGTGTGTATGTTATATTATAATTTTCGAGTAAAGTTCGTGGGTCATGGAAATCAATGGTAAATGGTCATGGATAGTCATGGAAAGTCATGGAAATTAAAGACAAATTTTCTGCGGACACCCTGCATTGTGCTTTTGAATCCTCTGATAACGCCTTAGTCTTTGGCTGCTGGACCCTTGTACAGTTGGCTGAAAAAACACAACCTCAATGTTGGTCAATTTCAATTTCATGTGAGCAGTACAACAAAAGCAGTTAATCTTTGTTTTGATAATTTTCCGTCAACACATATTTCATTTTTAAATTGGTGGGTTTTGTCGGGCATCAATTTGTAAAAAGTCCAGTTTCATTTCTGTTCAAATGTCCTCATCTCTACAATTCTGTGTCAATACTGGCCATGTTTCAGTTACCCAAACTACAAAGAAGTAAGATACTGAGAAAACATGCTTATGGAACAACAGTGCGCTTTTAGCACTGGAATGGTGGGGTGGAAATATACTAGTTTCAAGCAAGGAAGAGCCCAAACGGCTATGGTTTACTATAGCAGTTGTAGCACATAGGCTCTTCCTACAGTGTGAGCGCTGTAGTTCGTGATGGGGATGAAGCAGAAGGGGACGATTAATAAAATTTGCGCTAGACACAAGCGACTGATGCTAAACACGACTTAAGTGTACCATTGAATGTTTCCTCTGTATCTTACTTCTCTGTGGCCAAACTAAATCTAGTGCACCTATTCTCATAAAGGTAACTTTGTCCAGATTTTGAAATCTAGTCTTTAAGGTTTGTTCTAGTCCCCAACATGTGGAATTGTTATGGAAAAACTAGTAAATTTTTACATGCAAACCCATCTTATTTTCAAAAGATGTTCATTTTGTTATTTAAAAGAAAGCAAAGACAAAATTAGTTACCAGTAGAATCAGATTCCATGACTTCCAAGATGTGTACCAAGGTGTGTTCAGAAGAATGCTTTAATCATTTCATTATTAATAAACTATTACAACCTGATTCCCTGCAAGACTTATCAGTTATAATTCTTTAAGCTACAGTAGAGTTTTTAATGACTTTTGTCAATATTTAAACTTATTGCGACCCTCATTCACTACTTTTCTCTCATATTCTTCTTTCAGGTTTTGCTTTGTGGTGGGCCAATGAAAATACCTAAACTGAGGAATTATATCTCAGAAATATTTGATGAATCCAAAACCAAAGTTGTGCCACTGCCACATGGCATGAACTATGACGAGGTGTTGGCCTGTGGTGCTGCTCGTGAAGCTGGAATAGCTGATTACAATATGCGCAACAACTTCCTTCCAAATCGACTTATTGTTCTGGAGTTTCCAATCAGAATAGAGGTATTCCTCACAATCTAGTCCTTTAATATAACAGTCTCATAACCAGTGGTCGATTTCTAAAAAATGAGGTGACGGAACTGTTACCTATTTAATAGGATTAGTACCTATTTATGCCAATATTTTTATATTTCCAAAAGAGAGGTACCGGAACTCCATACTGCCGCATTCCCCCGCAAATTGAGTACTACTTATGACTCTGGATCATACTCCTCTTTTGTTTTAACAAATTTTCCATATAGGGAATATGCTTTTGCTCTAGTTATCATGGCTATTACATAGACTCAGGATCGATTTACTTTTTTGTTTTGTTGTCCCCAGAGGCCCAAAACACTACATTCAAATACAAATAGTTAATGTCCATTAGTACAATGATTCGTGTAAAAATCATCCCAAATTGATGAAATTTGCTACAAACTTGCAATCTTACGTTTATTCTAACAACCTATGGCTATAACATAGACTCAGGATCGATTTACTTTTTTGTTTTGTCGTCCCCAGAGGCCCAAAAAACTGTACATTCAAATACAAATAGCTAATGTCCATTAGTACAATGATTCGTGTAAAAATCATCCCAAATTGATGAAATTTGCTACAAACTTGCAGTCTTACGTTTATTCTAACAACCTCTTGAATCAGTACAATTGGGATATGGGAACAAGGTTTTATGGGATACAAATTTGTTTCTCCCATTTTTGATTCCCAAAACTAAAAATTATGCAAAAACTTTCCAACTCATTTTGTAGACCTTTACAAACAAACATTTTTTTCTGTGGAACCTGTTACTGGAAATTTTAGCAAATTTTCCTATAGGGAAGTAGCTATTACCGTAGGTGGCCCCCAGAGGCCAAAAACCCCATTCATTCGAATTTTTATACATGTATAGTATATGTAGAGTGTCCGTGAACGCGATAACTTGAGTAATTTTTGTCCGATTTTATCTTTGAATTTTTGATTTTGAAAGGATTAAGGCGGGATAAAATTGGATGAGTTCGCGAACCAACATGATCGGAACATGGGAACGGGGTTTTATGGAAGGTCTTATGGGGTAAAAATTGTTTTTGACCCTCAAAACAAAAAAATTCCCAATTTCTCTCTACACCTTTTTAAAGAAATAGAAAAAAAATTTAGTTTATCAAAGTATTTTTGAACGGGTATTGGTAACGGTGAAACTTAAACAAATTTTAAATTTAAAATTCCCATGTTATTCTTATGGAGAATATTGTAAAATACATATTAGAGAATATTGTTCTAGTTGGCTTGTTTATGGATATATTTTGTTCAAACTTGGCAAATTTATTTATAAGCTATTAAGATTTTACTAAAAACACACTTTATTAGGGTTCCTTGTAGCAGCAAACCTAGGTACTCGTTAAACCTAATGTTATTTAAATTGAATTTTAAATCGATTCAGACCAATGGAAATTCACTTAGTCAGCAGGTTTGCTACCGCGCGGGTATTTGACTTATTTTAGTACATATAACCTAGTTCTGCAGAGCCGGCTTAGCCATATGACTGGCCCGGCTACATATGACACCCCTTATACTTTGATCAAATTTGGCAAATTTATTTACTTCATATAAGCTATTAACTTTGTGTGGTATCCTCAGTCTCAAGAACAATCAACTATATAAGTTTACCTTATGGTTGCTAGATACTTACTTACTTGAATACTTGAATACTTGTAGTTTCCGTCCGTAGTCCAGGGCAGGAATTGGACAGGTCAATAGGACAGTAATGAAGATGAGTAATGATTATTGAAGTGTGTGAATAGGAATGTAAATAATTAATATAATTTGAAACAAAAATGTAAATTTACAAACTATGCTTCTGATGACGCCATACATGAGGTGAAAATGTACATTGGGCATCGTATTCACACAATTCGAGCACCTGGAAACCTACATAAGCTATTGACATTTTAATAAAAGACACACTTTATTACTTTCTCTGTTGTAGACTTAGTACTCATAAAACTTTCCAACCAGGCAAATGGAAATTAATTTAGTCTCCAGGTTTTAATTTACTAGTTTGAAAATCTCTTTTTACATTGTTGTACCTTTAGTGGAGGCTAAGAAACCCATGGTGATTCATATTTTCTTGGTTGGGGCTTCTTATTTTATATTTTGTATGGAAACGTAAAACGTGTGATCTTTGCTTTAGTGTTGAATTTTTTAAATTAAGTTTCCAATTAAATTCAAATATTTGATTAAATTCCCGTGAATTCCAGATTTGGCTTTGACACATCACAAATTCATAATGGTACCAATATATACATTGAAACCACCTCAACCCAGTGTTTCTTTAGTTTTGAGCTAGGAATGGGTTAGTTTTTAAAGTTTTTTGTCGGTTTTACGGGTTTTAGCAAAAAACCAGAACCGAGAATTGATGGAAGTTCTTTTTTGATTTATCAGTTGCTGCACAATTTCCGGAAGACGATAATATCTTCACGGCTCCTGGAGATGTTCATATTTTACTGTGATCTTGGGAGACAATGATTATGTCTTCGCAACCACGGTGGGGTGTTCAAGTTTTTGCTGGGTTCACGAATCATACTCATGATGTCATGACAAAAAATTGTATGGATACCAAAACCTAATGCTGCTTTTCTGTTGGCAATCATACAAGACATGCGTTAAAATATATTCATGATTATTGTTTATGAAAAATATTAATTTTACTGTTGTTTCGAGGATTATTGTATACATTTCCCATGAGTTTGTAGTGACACGAAAGTTTCACCTGCAATAGTCCATGTTGCCACATAAACCTATCATCACCAACAGCAAACCTCACACAAAGAAAATCATAATCAGTGTAGCTTAGGCTAAATTATAAGGCAATTTTATCTAATTAAAAACCAAAATAACCAACAAACGTTAAAACTAAAACGATAACAATGCAAATCACTTATCAGAACTTTCATACGAATTTGATGGTTGATACAGGTTGAAGGGGCGCAAAGTCATCTGAGCAATGAACTGAGGACTGGACTTTTTATCCCCATCCACAAGGTATTAATAATATCATCCCCTGAGGAAGTGGTCACCCTCACATTCTCCCAGTTGACTGATCAGAATATTCTGAGAGGACAGGTTAGTATACGTTTTTAGTTACGCAATATTTATAACTTGTTTGATTTGAGGGAGAACAGGCTTACTTCTACAGTGGCGAAGTCAGGTTAGGTAAGACATATATATATACAGTAGAACCCCGGTTAACCGAAATAAGGGAGGAGAACCGTTTCAGATAACCAATTTTTCGGTTAACCCATCATATGCTAATATAGCCAATGTATCACCACAGTGTGTAGGGAAAATGAATTTAGAGACTGTCTATATAATTCAGTGTGTTATTTCAGCTATAAAAATGTTACAATGGAGTAGAAAATGCTTTAAACCAGATAACTGAAGTTATTAAAGCATTTTACAGCCCTATATTATTTTATAGAACCATTTCCGTTAACCCAGGTTTAGGTTAACAGAGGTTCTACTGTACACAACAACAAAATTGAAATATTTTAATGGCCACTGACCACTTCACAATAACAAAGAAAGATTTAAATTTTTTTTTTAGACAAGTGCTTATATTAAGTCACAACCTAAATGATGCATGGCAAAAGCTGGATTTATTCTTGATAAAGAATCCACCGATTTCATCAGTTCCACATGAGCTTTTCACCATTTATTTAGCTGGGCCTCTCCTACCAAGTTCTGCCTGTAGAATTCACCCACTAAATCTGAGCGACAGTGGATACAAACCCTTATTTTACGGTGATGTCCCCTGGCCGAGGAGTCAACACCTTAGACCACTTAACTGTTTTTTCTCTTGGTATTGTGGTGAAAAACTTATCTAGGAAGGTGATTATGGTATTTGCATGAAATCCTGTGCTCGACAAGCCTCATACTATCATGTTTCATACCCTAAAAACCTACTTCCCGGTCCTGTAGCATAATAGTCTATATACTAGCCCATACAAAATCTTCATTCGGTAACAGTATTTATATTTATAAAACTGAGAGACAAACTAAAGAATTATTTTGTTTTAATTTTATATAACCATAGAGAAAAAGGGCACAGAAGAAACTTGCTTATAGGACCATCGTGCTCTTTCATCCCTATAGTTCGGCCGCATAGATAGCAACCTGTGCCCTAATGCTAACCAATGCTAGAGGAGGTCGCTATCTAAGCGGCCGAACTTTTTTTGCTTAACCAGTGTGCGGCATCCCATTGAAATACATGGGGCGCTCGTACCTAGCGAAACATTTTACCTCACGACACTTGCTTCAGGTGAAATGCTGCATCAGTGTGCGGCCGCCCTTAGTAGTCTGACCGCCTGAGCAACATGTTTTAGTTATCAAGTCGTATTTCAAAATTAATGATTCAATCATTGCAGCTCAGTGGCAGTGCACACAAACAAGCCTCCCACATTGAGCAAACTAACGGAGGCCATAACTCAAGAGATCGTAAACTTGAATCCTGCAATATCAAATAAGGTGTTTGACAGTTTTGGTGTAAGAATGGAAGAGAGCTTAATCAACAAGGGATACCATTTGAAGTACATGATTTTAAAACCCTGGCCATTGCTTTTCATTGCTCATATGTAGCACAAGAATGTATGTCATATGTATGTCAAGTGGACAAGATTGGAATTTTAGTATGAGACGAGATTTTTTATTTCTTATAACATTTTGAGACGAGATCGAGACAGGATTTCCCTTCTCATACACAACGGGAAATACACGTTCAATATTTTTACCTGATTTTGTAACATTGTTAGATGACTGTTTAAATACAAAAATAATAAAAATAGGCAAGAATATTTAAAATCTTTTATTAAAAACATCAGCATAAAAAAATGTATATCAATTACGCCTAACTTATTAAAAATACTTACGATTAGGAAACATGGTGATATAAGTTAGGATAGAGTTAAACTTATCATAAAATCAAATAAATCATAATATAAAAGCAATATTAATTTGTATAAAATAGTTACTTGTTTTGGCTTTGTATATAGATGTAAAACATGCGTCACACTGGTTACACTTAACTAAACTTCTCAAATGAGAAAATAATTAAAGTAATATTTACATGTAAAGAATTAATTAAATAAGAACGCCTTCGCAAAGGAAACGCAACTATAACACGCTCCTGTATTGCGGTATTGCATTGACTTTCTGCAGGCGTTTAAAAATTATTTTTTTTATTTTCGTCTTGAAAAATTCTTAATAAAAAAGAAAACTTGTCTCCTATAACAAAATTTAAAATTTCCCGAAATTTTTTGAAATTTCAAGACTTGACCATCCTTAATCATATGTAAGTTTTTGTTATTGGCAATCATTACTAATATAATGTGTTGTATCACTGTTTATCGAGTTATTAATAATTTAAATTAGATCAGGTTCTTTGCCGCAACCTGTATAGCTCTATGTGTTGAAGATCCATCACTATCACAGTTGTGTGCTTTACTACAAAGTCTATATCCCAGCGCCATTTTCATTTTTGATTATCGAACTCAAAATCCTGTAATATTGATCATACAAAAGCTGTCCTATACTGAGGGTGTATTACACAATTTGTACAATAAAAGAGCTTCAATATTAAACTGGTTTGATAGTGAGGCTCTATGTTCTCTGATGTATAATTTTTTGCCACCCATATGTGTTTAATCAAACTTGTTTTTCAGTTACAACTGGAAGGACCTGGCCTACCTGATCCTTGTTACCTGGAATTAGAAGTCAACAGGTAAAAATCATTCATGGAAATCAAACTGTAAAATAAGTTGGTTTAAATTATCTATTAATTGAGCACATCATGCTTAAACTAGGTTTCCACAAACCTAGAAAGCTAAAGAAGGTCAGGTAAGGCTAGAGAAATATGTAAGATCTGAAAGTGGCAAGAGTTTAAGAAAAATAAACAACACATACTAATATTTTTGTCTCCAAAATGCCGTCCTAATATTTATAATTTAAATTAAGCAATTTTGTAATTGTTTAGTTTATATTTTTAACTAAAAGTTAACATTACTCTTATAGTCACATTAGCTTAATCTTTAATGCCAACTTTATAACCACAATTTAAACTACAGTAATTTGTTATGTTCTCGATCAAAGTTTCATTGATGATAATTGACAGTGAAGAATAAAAATTTTGTGAAGCACATAAATACTTTTCCTACCATTGTATGAAAATTATCACTTTGCCACACCTGTAAACAGTATGCAAAATAGCTCATTTTTGCTTTATTCATTCTGACTCGCTAAATAATTTTCACTGTTGGCGTTTCTATAAAACACATAGGTTACGTTTCATCTGGTAATGCATCTAGGTTACATTCATTCCAACAGATAAAGCAACACCTAAATGGAATTATAATATAAAACTAAAACAAGTTAATCTTTGTGTTATGATAAGTTAATTATTGTGGTAGGAATAATCTTGAGTGTATTAAAAAATCTCTTTTGTAAGTCTCAAAATAGCCTGAAAACGCGAGTATGTAGGTCTGATTTTAAAATTTTCTTGGGGGTCCCCCCCTTGGCGTAATCCTAGTTACAATTATGAATGCACAAATACAGCAGCCGTATCCTTTAGTTCCATAGAACAAATTTTATTTATGTGGACATAGTTTTTACTGTTAATTTTATACAAAATTAATCTAACAGATCGATATTTTCAAAAAGAAATTGCGGCATTCTACTCAGCGTAAAATTTTATTTTGAAATGATAGGTCACAACCCTACCCTTACATTTCAAAAATAAACTTTTTATCCAATATGGCAGATCCAAGATGGTGGCCAAAAATTCCCCCCCCCCAGTCAAAATGAAGTATTTACTACTATACAATGACCTGACGTGGTCCGGAGTTGATACCTTAAGAAATGTAGAAAAAAGTAGGGGGGGGGGGGGGGAGGAACTCATTTAAAACTCACCCTGTCATTCTATTTTACTTTATAATTTATAAATATCAATCAATATACCACTGTGTGTAATTTTTTCAGTGTTTCTATTTGTTAGCTATTCATGTTTGTTATTCAATAAATAAAACAAAGGGCAAGTGTAGCTATGGGAATAGTTCAGGCAAAATTTAAAATTAAATGTTGTATAAACAGTTTTAGTAAATAAGTATGTTGTAATAAAATAAATTTAGAAATTGTTTTGGAAACCCTGGTTAAGGTACAAAGAGAAAAATTTCTCATAAAGTCAAAGCATACATAGAGTTTAAAATAGGATGGGGTTGAGCTTTTGCTTGCTAAAAGTATTTTTTAAGGGTTTATATTTTTTTAAATACTATATTTGTTATAGTCAGACAACCAATACTCTTCACTTTATAAACCAGCATAATTTTAAATTTATCATGAAATTTTATAATAAAAGCCCTTTTATTGTTGATGGTAAACAAAAGTTGTAAATTGTAAAGAATGCTCCATGATGTGATTGATTATTGAAAGTAGATATTTATTTAATGTTGTTGATGTTTCAGTGAAGATGGAATAATAGTTGGAGTTCCTGACGAAGACGATAACTATCAACAACATGTGGTAGAAATACGTTCTTTTCCAATTAATTTATAACATGGATATTTGTCAAATGTTGTGTAAATATGTCACTAATCAAAAATCTACACTATCTGATATTTGAAAATATATATATTTTCCAATTAAAACAATGACAATAATTAAATGAGAAGATTTAAGGAGAAAGTAAATTTAAAAAGGTTTATGAGCCTTAAGACACAATGTCTTATTGTCTAAAAACTATATCAGCTGCTATGTAACTTTGATTTACCGATCTAATTATTAGTATTGTAGTAGATTTCATGAAGTCTTAGTAAGAATTTAAAAATAAACAGTGATGTTTACCATTGGTGACAAATTCCATAGTAAAACTTTGTTTGATTACATTTTTTTCAAACTATGCTCATACATTTTAGTCATTCATAAATATAATTTACGAACCTGTTAGTGTTTTTTATGGGCTAATACAGTATTTGCTACACTCTACAAATTCAGTGTAATTGTAAGCCTTCAAGCTAAAACATTTTGTCTGAGATCATTAAGATCTGTTCAATCAGGAGGATTATTTTGCCAAAATCGTCGAACTAAGTAAAGTGGAGTCAAGAAGTTCATCGCTACTTCGGTTATTACTGTTGAAAACTAGTTGTTACATAGAATCTTTTAAATTATGCACAAACAAAACAAATGTCAGCAACTGGCAGCTATACTTACACATATTAGTAATACAGGAGTCAAATACTTCAGGCCTAAGGTAAAAAAATCCAAGCCCTTTTCATGAATTTAATGTAGTTCTAAAAACAATAAAACATTAATTTTTCTTCATGAGGAATTGACTTTCTTACAGTATTATATTTTACATGCTACTAGAGGAGAAACTTCAACAACTTCAACTTATGTTTAAGTTTGTTATGAATAAATTGTAAAAATGTATTTTGTATACATTTTTTTCTTCATGAGGAATTGACTTTGTCATTATATTTTACATGGTACTAGAAGAGAAACTTCAATGTTCCTTATGTTCTAGTTTGTTATGAATGAATAGATAAAAATGTATTTTATATATATATTTTTTTCTTCATGAGGAATTGACTTTGTCATTATATTTTACATGGTACTAGAGGAGAAACTTCAATGTTCCTTATATTCAAGTTTGTTATGAATGAATAGATAAAAATGTATTTTATATATATATTTTTTTTCTTCATGAGGAATTGACTTTGTCATTATATTTTACATGGTACTAGAGGAGAAACTTCAATGTTCCTTATATTCAAGTTTGTTATGAATAAATTGTAAAAAATGTATTTTGTATATTTTTATCACGAGGAATTGACTTCGTCATTATATTTTACATGGTACTAGAGGAGAAACTTCAATGTTCCTTACATTCAAGTTTGTTATGAATAAATTGTAAAAAATGTATTTTGTATTTTTTTATCACGAGGAATTGACTTCGTCATTATATTTTACATGGTACTAGAGGAGAAACTTCAATGTTCCTTATATTCAAGTTTGTTATGAATAAATTGTAAAAAATGTATTTTGTATATTTTTATCACGAGGAATTGACTTTGTCATTGCATTTTACATGGTACTAGAGGAGAAACTTCAATGTTCCTTATATTCAAGTTTGTTATGAATAAATTGTAAAAAATGTATTTTGTATTTTTTTCACGAGGAATTGACTGTCATTATATTTTACATGGAACTAGAGGAGAAACTTCAATGTTCCTTATATTCAAGTTTGTTATGAACAAATTGTAAAAAATGTATTTTGTATTTTTTTTCACAAGGAATTGACTTTGTCATTATATTTTACATGGCACTAGAGGAGAAACTTCAATGTTCCTTATATTCAAGTTTGTTATGAATAAATTGTAAAAAATGTATTTTGTATTTTTTTTCACGAGGAATTGACTTTGTCATTATATTTTACATGGTACTAGAGGAGAAACTTCAATGTTCCTTATATTCAAGTTTGTTATGAATAAATTGTAAAAAATGTATTTTGTATTTTTCTTCACGAGGAATTGACTTTGTCATTATATTTTACATGGTACTAGAAGAGAAACTTCAATGTTCCTTATGTCCAAGTTTGTTATGAATGAATAGATAAAAATTTATTTTGTATTTATATTTTTTTCTTCATGAGGAATTGACTTTGTCATTATATTTCACATGGTACTAGAGGAGAAACTTCAATGTTCCTTATATTCAAGTTTGTTATGAATAAATTGTAAAAAATGTATTTTGTATTTTTTTTACGAGGAATTGACTTTGTCATTATATTTCACATTGTACTAGAGGAGAAACTTAAATGTTCCTTATGCTTAAGTTTTTTTTTCAATAAATTGTAAAAAATTGTATTTTGTATATGATTTTTTTTCTTCATGAGGAGTTGACTTTGTTATTATACTTGGACAAAGGGTCTATTGCGTTCAGTCCGCGATCGTTCACTTCAAAAAGTATTTTTACAAATTCTTTGCCTGTTTGTTTGCTCCACTGTTTACTTGATCCACCGGGTACAGTCAGCTCCATTAGTAGACAGGCCTATAGAAAATACTAATTTTAAAGTGTACTGTACATTGGATCGAATGCACATTGGAGTGAACAAGCAGTATTATTGAAATATGTAATCATAGTGAACTGTGAACACAAATCTTGACCGAAGGAAAAATCATCAGTGATAAGTTCAAAGGAGATATAGTCTTAATCCAATCCAAAGAATACCGATGATTTAATCTGAATTACCCTTTGAATTAAAGCGACTACAATTTCCTTTGATTCTTGTTGTTGAAATAACCATTAATCAGGCACAGGGCCATCCCTAACTATCATCGGTTCAATTTTAGAAAATGTATGCTTTTCACGTGGACAGCTGTATGTTGCCTGCTCACGTGATGGTACACCTAAAGAAAAAAAAACAGCAAAGTTTCGGGTCTTATATACAACTATGGATATCACAGTGGGAAGACAAAGTGTTTACGTTCTTTTTACAATACATATGACAGGGAAAAATATATTTACAAATAAGAGGCATGACAGATTAACAAGAAAAAATGAGCTTACAATTAATGAGTTTTTGAGCAATTAGTCTAAACGCTTTCTTCTGCAACACAAATAAAGATTTTACATATCAACAATTAGCCCAAAAATGGTACCATAAGTAAGATGACAGTGGATGTGATGAGGTTTATGCTGTGCTGTTATAGTAAACAGTAAGCAGAACTTCCATTGAAACAATTTTTTTTTAGTTTTATAAATATAAACATACCTTTGGATATTTTAACAGCTACAAATTTGATTTGTGATTCCCATTTCAAGCAGCTCTAAATTGAGATACCTAATAATTTAACAGGTTGTTGATGAAAATCTGTGTTAGCATAAGAAATTTTCAGATCTTGTGTTTTATTTAAATTTAAAGATGGTTTATTAACATTACCCCAATCTACCATTGCATTAACAGAGCCAACCGTGATTTCATTCTGCAAGTTCTTAGGAGGTTTAAAATTTAGACACACATAATCAGCATACATATAACACGAAACACATTCATTCGGTATATTATAAGGCAGATCATTAACATACATTTTAAACAACAAAGGTCCTAAGATGAACCTTGCGGAACGCCATGTTGAGTCTCCACCAAATCCGACAGAACACCGTCAAAGAACAACTTCTTCCACATAGATATGAGTCCATCAATGCAACTGCGCTATCACTAAAACCTAAAAATCTTAGTTTTCTTAACAACAATTGATGTGACACAGTGTCAAAAGCCATTGAGAGATCAAAGAACTTAGAGCAAATACTCTTTTTCAACTCCATCGCATCCAATGTATCTTGAATGTACATTAACACTGCATCTGTGATTGACCAGCCTTTTCAGAAGCCAAACTGAACACTAGACAAAACACTGTTGGATTAAAAAAAAATGAATGATTTGCCACAAAAGTAATCTCTCAAGGACACTGCGGAAACCAAAGCAACCGGTCTGTAATTCCCAGGAACGCTATCCATCTTGTGGTTCCATCCCTCGACTGAGCTATAATTTCTATGCTGTTTGCTATAGCAGCTCCAAATCTGAGAGTAAGAAAATTTAATTGTGCCGAATTTAAACAAGCAATTCCATATCACTGAGATGGTAAAATTGTGAAGTGCTTTTCTGTAGCGCCTGCTGTGTGTACCATACCTTCTCATCAACCTGGCTCACTTGTTTTCGGGATTTTTAAAATATGTAACCGCAAACTGGAACACTATTTTCAGGCACTCCACAAAATTGCGAAGTGCTTTTCTGTAGCCCCTGCTGTGTGTACCATACCTTCTCATCATGTTATCATCAACCTGGCTCACTTGTTTTCGGGATTTTTAAAATATGTAACCGCAAACTGGAACACTATTTTCAGGCACTCCACAAGATTTTTGGCTTGACCAGTAAATGGACGATTTTACCCTTGACGGGAAAATGGATACAACCCGTTTCCAGACGTAGTTTTGGTGTGAACTGTCATAAATAAATTTGATCCAAATACATCCATATGAGGGCAAACTGAACCAGTTTCCCCAATTTTATTACATAGAAATGATTTTTATGCAAATAATTAACAAAAACTAAACCATAGTGTGCTTCATACAATAACAAAAGAGTAATACTATGATTGTTCATCGGCAGTGAAAGGTCACATCTGATGATGACTAAAATTTTTTAGTGAGAACACATGTGATGAACAATCATTCTCTTCGTCATGTTTGTTCATCTCATGTGTCCTCAAAATAAGGTGTGTTCAAAATAAGGTGTGTTCAAAATAAGGTGTGGGGGAATTAGGTCTCCTAAACAAATACGAGAACTCGGTGGTAAACTACAAGCGCACGCTCGCGGTAGCCGTGTCAACTGTCAAGGCATAGTTTGGAAAATGTCCGCTTCGCACGCTGACATCGTGGTTCAGCAGGTCTCAGTGGTTGTTAAACCGTTGTTACTGAAATGAAATGAAATAAAATAATATTTTTATTTCCCATAAATTATA